CGCTGCTAGCCCTGCCATGCGCAGCTGGTGGGAGGAGGGGGGGTGCGATGCGGTATGACAGCGTTGGGAGGAAGGGGTGGAAGAGAGGCTTCCCACGTGCCTCACACCCGCTGCATCACATCCAGCGCTGCTAGCCCTGCCATGCGCAGCTGGTGGGGAGGGAAAGATGCGGTGTGAAAAGGTTGGGAGAGATGGAAGCTGGTGAGGAGGAAGGGATGGAAGCCATGCGCTACTGGCCCGCTGCATCACATCCAGCGCAGCTAGTCCTGCCATGCGCAGCTGGTAGGGGGGGGGTGAGATGGGTGGGTGGGTGAGACGGGGGGAATGGAAGAAACGTGGGGAGTGACATGAGAGTGCCTCAAACATGGAAGTGGCAAGGCAAGGATGAATGGAAAGAAGAAAGACAACTTGGACCCCCGCACCAGACACCTGCTTTTGATCAAAGAAGTGTTTTGAGACGTCTCAAAACACTTCCTTGATCACCGGACACCTGCTTTTTGAGAGAACTCTCAAAGAACAGATTATCTTGGACCCGCACCAGACACCTCACCACCGCATTCCATCCCGTCCCACCCATATCCACCGCATCACACCTTGCGTGGGTCGTGCAGGAAGCCTCCCACGCGGTACATGGCTCGAGGCCCCAGCTCGTCTGCTTTCGCCACCAGCTCTAATGCCTCCTCTGATAGCTCCTCCTCCTGCTGCCGCTTCTCCTCCTCCCGTTGTTGCTGCTTGCGCTGCTGTTGCTGCTCCTGGAGCTGTGTCTCGGTTGTGTATGTTACAGCAGAAGGGGGTAGTAGCTGGGGAGGCTCCTTTCTCATCCACGCTTCCTGCGGGGAAGGCATGTACAGGTGGGGATGGGAAGTGGGTTGGTGAATGCTGGGAGGGCAAGTTCTAAGTCGTTTGAAACTTGGGGAGGGGGCGCAGGTGGCAGGTGAAGGAAAAATGAGGAAGGCTTGTGCCTTTTCTCAGGGAACAACAACGTGAGAGGTGTGTCTCAGACCGGAAGGCAGAGAACAGGAGAGCGTGAGACAGTGAGAGGTTACATACACGAATGAGAGAGGGTGGAAGGAGGAGGAAGAGGAAAAGGCGCGAGGGGAAGTGGAAAGTGGGAAGAGGGAAGGGGGGAAGAGGGAAGGCCAAAGAGACCAGCAATGAGCAGGGTGCAGAAATCATCTGAGTCACGTTCGAGAACTCTCTCAAATGCTTCTTAGAAGCACTCTGAAAGGCGACTCGACTCGAGTATAGAGAATTCTTGAAAGGGACCAGCAGTGGGCAGTGGGCAGGATGCATGGCAGGAAGGAAGAAGTTTAGGAGCTGACAAGCAGGGCAGGGTGCAGGTGAGCATCGATGCTGAACGCTGTGAAAGGCCGGTTGAGAGACACACGTGTGTAGGCAGGTAAGGAATGAGGCATGCAGGTCACTGACAAGCAGGGCAGGGTGCAGGTGAGCATCAATGCTGAACGCTGTGAAAGGCCGGTTGAGAGACGCGTGCGTGTAGGCAGCTACCTCCCTCTGTGATGGGGAGGGAGGTGCAAGGAACAGGGAGAGAGAGAGAGGAGAGATGGGGTGAGGTGAGGGGGACAACGGGGCTCGTGGAGGGGAGAAAAGGCAGTGCATTGAAGGAGTAGCAATGGCAGCCGCAAGCATGTGAGAGGCGCCTAGAATTACAGCAGCAAGAATCAAGGGATTGCCGAACATTGCTTTCGCAAGTCAGCAGCAGCAGTGAGCACGGCACAGCATGCTTTGGTACAGACGGACTGACTGACTGACTGACTGACTGACTGACTGACTGACTGACTGACTGACTGACTGACTGACTGACTGACTGACTGACTGACTGACTGACTGACTGACTGACTGACTGACTGACTGACTGACTGACTGACTGACTGACTGACTGACTGACTGACTGACTGACTGACTGACTGACTGACTGACTGACTGACTGACTGACTGACTGACTGACTGACTGACTGACTGACTGACTGACTGACTGACTGACTGACTGACTGACTGACTGACTGACTGACTGACTGACTGACTGACTGACTGACTGACTGACTGACTGACTGACTGACTGACTGACTGACTCACTCACTCACTCACTCACTCACTCACTCACTCACTCACTCACTGACCTGGTAAAGTGCAAGGTTGTGGTACAGCTGTGCGTTCTCCTCCTGCGACCGCCCTCCCAGAGCCAACACTGTGCTGTAGTGCCGTGCCTGGAAAGCACACGCACGCACAGGGATGACATGACAGGGGCAGATCACGAGGCGTTACAAGAGTGACCACTTCCTGCGACTGCCCTCCCAGGGCCAGCCAGCACTGTGCTGTTGTGCTGTGCCTGACGAGCAGCACGCACGGGGATGACAGGGAAGGCTTTTGAGGCGCCTCATGAATTGCAACTTGCAGCGGATCGAGAGAATGAGAGTAAACCTCAACATCATTGTACCTACACGTTTTATATCAATGCCACGGGCGGACCGTTTGAGAGGGAACGGGGAGTGTGGGGCATGCGTACCGCAGCAGAGAAGTTAGCGAGGGCGTGGAGGGCGGAGGCAGCAAGGTAGTGCAGATTGGTGCTCTGAGGGAAGAGCTGGAGCCCCTCCCGTGCCACCTCCAGAGCTTGCCTGGTACGTGGAGAGAGAGGGGAGGGGGGGAGCAGTAAGGGGAGAGGAAGGGAGCCGTGGGGAAGTTAGCGAGGGCGTGGAGGGCGGAGGCAGCAAGGTAGTGCAGATTGGTGCTCTGAGGGAAGAGCTGGAGCCCCTCCCGTGCCACCTCCAGAGCTTGCCTGGTACGTGGAGAGAGAGGGGAGGGGGGGAGCAGTAAGGGGAGAGGAAGGGAGCCGTGGGGAAGTTAGCGAGGGCGTGGAGGGCGGAGGCAGCAAGGTAGTGCAGATTGGTGCTCTGAGGGAAGAGCTGGAGCCCCTCCCGTGCCACCTCCAGAGCTTGCCTGGTACGTGGAGAGAGAGGGGAGGGGGGGAGCAGTAAGGGGAGAGGAAGGGAGCCGTGGGGAAGTTAGCGAGGGCGTGGAGGGCGGAGGCAGCAAGGTAGTGCAGATTGGTGCTCTGAGGGAAGAGCTGGAGCCCCTCCCGTGCCACCTCCAGAGCTTGCCTGGTACGTGGAGAGAGAGGGGAGGGGGGGAGCAGTAAGGGGAGAGGAAGGGAGCCGTGGGGAAGTTAGCGAGGGCGTGGAGGGCGGAGGCAGCAAGGTAGTGCAGATTGGTGCTCTGAGGGAAGAGCTGGAGCCCCTCCCGTGCCACCTCCAGAGCTTGCCTGGTACGTGGAGAGAGAGGGGAGGGGGGGAGCAGTAAGGGGAGAGGAAGGGAGCCGTGGGGAAGTTAGCGAGGGCGTGGAGGGCGGAGGCAGCAAGGTAGTGCAGATTGGTGCTCTGAGGAAAGAGCCCAAGCCCCTCCCGTGCCACCTCCAGAGCTTGCCTGGTACGTGGAGAGAGAGGGGAGGGGGGGAGCAGTAAGGGGAGAGGAAGGGAGCCGTGGGGAAGTTAGCGAGGGCGTGGAGGGCGGAGGCAGCAAGGTAGTGCAGATTGGTGCTCTGAGGAAAGAGCCCAAGCCCCTCCCGTGCCACCTCCAGAGCTTGCCTGGCGCGTGGAGAGAGAGGAGAGGCAGGGAGCAATGGGGAGAGAGTGAGTGAAACAGAAGGGGCTAAGCTTGGGATCGTTCTTTATTCCCTCGCCTCCCCTAAGCTTGCCTGTGTGCATGTGCAGTAGAGCAAGCTTGTGACAGTTCTCAAGCGCATTTTTCCTATTGAGTCAACTCAGAAAGGTGACAGGTCATTATGTTACAGATCTCACCTGGGCTTGCCTGTGTGCATGTGCAGCAGAGCGAGCTTGTGATAGTTCTCCACATCTCTGAGGAATTCGTGTTAGGGTGTTAACGGGGAGGGGGAGACGAAACGTGAGTTGTAAGGGAGATGAGACGTGAGCTATAACGGAGAGGCGTGCCACATGTAAGGTGCTATGTGCTCCTTACCTGTGGGGTCGATGGTAAGGTGCTATGTGCGAAGGCGCTGGGAAGGTGCTGGGTGGGTGCTATGTGGAGATGGGAAGGCTCTACAGCTACGACAGATGGGTTGCAATGCAATCGAACCTAGAAAAGCTCTGGGAGAGCATCAGAACAACAGATGCATTCCCCCGCATCTGCCAATCCCACGGTTTGATACGACAGATGGTAGAGAGGGCAATGATCCCAGCCTTGCCCTCTACCGTCAACCCTTCTGCCAATGACTTTTGAGTCGACTCAAAATGATCCCACCCTCGCCCTCTACCATCAACCCTTCTGCCAATGCAACGCCCTTCAGTTGCTAAAGCATCAACTTTACGTGCTGCAGCCCTTTGAGCCATGAGTCAGGAACTCCCCCTGCATGTGAAACGATCCCAGCCTTGCTCTCTACCATCAACCCTTCTGCCAATGCCCTTCTTTCCTCTCTCCTACCTCCCCTCTCCCCTCTCCCCTCTCCCCTCTCCCCTCTCCCGTCTCCCTTCACACCTCTCCCCTCCCCCCTCAGCTTATCGTCCTCACCTCTCCACAGCAACAGCGGTCCCCAGACACTCCCGTGCAAGCCCCACCTTCTGCAGCTTTTGAGGCGCCTCAACATCCGTGCGAGCACCACCTCCCGCAGCATTTTGTGCCTTCCTTGGCAATGTCACCCTTTGTCAAGCACTCACCTCCTCCTCATCTTCCTCACCTCTCCACAGCAACAGCCGTCTCCAGGCACTCCCGTGCGAGCCCCACCTCCCCCAGCTCCTTGCACTTCCCTCAACATCTCCTCCCTCCCCTCAACGCTCACCCTATGCCTAATCTTAGAACCCCCTAACCCGCTTTCCTCCCACCCCTCACCTCTCCACAGCAACAGCCATCTCCAGGCACTCCCGCGCCAGTCGCATCTCCCCCAGCTCCTTGTGAGAGCACCCCTTTTCCTTGGCAGTCCCCCCCTCTGTCTGTCCAGCACTCACATCCTCTCTCTCCCCTCACCCTCCTCACCTCTCCACAGCAACAGCCGTCTCCAGGCACTCCCGTGCGAGCCCCACCTCCCCCAGCTCCTTGTGGGAGCACCCCTTCTCGCGCCACAGCGCGCCCTCCTGGGGAAACAGCTTCACTGCCCGCCCGTACACCTCCGTTGCTGCCCTGAACGCGCCCAGTGCTGCTGACGCCCAGCCCTTAGGGTGGGAGAAAGTACGGGACGGGAATATGGTTGGGGGGTGGGGAGTGGGGAAGATAGAGGATGCTTTTCGGGAAATGCACCACTACCCGCCCGTACACATCTGTTGCTGCCCTGAACGCGCCCATTGCTGCAGACGCCCAGCCCTTGGGGAAACGAGCACGGGGAGCATGGTTGGAGGATAAGGAACAACGAAGGGACTTCTTGGAAACAGCTTCACTGCCCGCCCGTACACCTCTGTTGCTGCCTTGAACGCGCCCAGTGCTGCTGACGCCCAGCCCTTGGGGAAGCAAGTACGGGAGTGTGGGGGGTGTGGGGGGAGTGGGGCAAGGAGTATGGTTGGGGATGAGGAAGAGAGAGGATACTTGCAGGAATTCGACCAAATAGGATGGGCCATGGCAGGAGGGTGGGGGAGTTCCGGGAAGCAGGACGCATGGCAGCAACCCTCCCTTACGAGGCGCCTCAAAAGCAGGATGCATCGCTGAAATCCTCCCTTTTCCCTGTTTCCTTGCACAATGCAAGACAGCACGATGGCAGGATTGCAAGATTGCAGAGAGATTTCAACAAATACCTGAGTGCATGGGATGCCATGGCATGGCATGGCATGGCATGGCATGGCAGGGCAGGGCATGGCATGGCATGGCATGGCATGGCATGGAATGGCATGGCATGGCATGGCACGGCATGGCATGGCACGGCATGGCATGGCATGGCACGGCACGGCATGGCATGGCATGGCATGGCATGGCATGGCATGGCATGGCATGGCATGGCATGGCATGGCAGGGCATGGCATACCAGGATGCGCAGCACATCAACAGGTGGCCGTGGGTGTGTCCTGCAGCGGTGTCTGAGACGTCCCAAAAGGCGTGCATACCTGCTGACTCGACCCAAAAGATGTCTCAAACTGCGGGCATACCAGGGTGCGATTCCTGCTGACTCGACCCAAAAGATGTCTCAAACTGCGTGCGGGCATACCAGGGTGCGCAGCACATCAACAGTGGCCGTGGGTGCGTCCTGCAGTGGAGACAGATCCGCCACTGCAGCCCTGTAGTCCTTGGCCTGGAAGAACAGCTTTCCTGGATGGGGGGGATGGGAGGGAGAGACGAGGCATGGGGTGGAAGAGGACTGTGGGGAGAAGAGGCATGGGGGTGGAAGAGGCATGGCATGAGGGGAGAGAAATCTGCCACGGCAGCCCTGTAGTCCTTGACCTGGAAGAGCAGCTTTCCTGAGAGGTGGGGAGAGACGAGACAGGGGGGAGATGATGCGGGGGAGACGAGCGCAGTGCAGGCTAGTGGCACGTCAGCTAATGAGAGAAAAAGTGACGACGGCCGTACCCAGAGACGCCAGACTCGACTGCACTGCAGCTGTCCTCCTCATCTCTGTGATAGGCAAGTGCAGCCAAAGCGTGTCGCGTGAGTCACCTCGGATTACAGGCATTACTGCAGGCAGGCGATGTGGCATGGCATTACTGCAGGCAGGCGATGTGGCATGGCATTACTGAGTGCAACAGTCACAGACCACAGCACTGCACACCTCTCTGTCTCAGAAGCTCGGGGTCGTGTGGGTGCAGCTGCACTGCCCGGCTCATGTCCGCGATGGCCTGTTGTTGGTGACAGGGGCGAGGCAGAGGGTGGGGTGGGGGTGAAGTGACTTTTGAGACGCATCAAGACGACTAGTGTGAATGCAGCTAGACTGCCCTGCTCATGTCCGTGATGGGCTGGCGTGTGTGGGCGAGGGAGAAAGACGAGCGGGACAAGGCAAAGGGTGGGGTGGGGGTGAAGAGTGAGTTCTTAGGCGCATCAAGAGTCGTGTGGGTGCAGCTGTACTGCCCTGCTCATGTCCGTGATTGCTTGTTACTAGTGAGAGGGAGGAGAGAACCGGGTCTTTTGAAGCACCTGAAAAAATGGAGCGGGTGGAGGGGTGGGGTGGGGTGGGGTGGGGTGGAGGTGAAGCAAGAAGAGGTAAAGTAGTTGTAACACGCTGTGAAAGCGGGGGGGAAAGGAATGAGGAGCACGCTCCAGCAGCTTTTGGCGGAAGAGGAAAGTGGAGGCTGTGTTCCTGCCATCACTTTGGTGTGTATGGGGTGAAAGTTTCACCATGAAACATTGCATAGCACTTGCAGCCGAGCCGTCCCATCGCCAAGAGCACACAGAAAGACCCTTCTGCGGGACGCTTGAGTCACTTCGACACACACACGCGCGCGCGCGCGCGCGCGCACACACACACACAGCTAGACTTTTCGGAGTCTGAAGCATTGCATACCTCCTCCAGGCGTCCCAGTTTGAGCAGCACCACAGCCCTCCTCTGCCATGCATCCGTGCTTTCTGGGAAGCGCGCTGTCGCCTGGAGGAGAGGGGAGCGGACAGCGGGGAAGAGAAGAGAGGGGGAGAGGAGAACAGGAGAGAGAAGGGAGGAGCGTTTTCAAAAATAGAGAGAGAGGATTCCAAAGGAATACACGCGTGGGTGGGCATGGCTCCAACCATTAGAATCAACGTCAATGGCTCTTTTTTCTTCTCTGGATGATGAGATCATGAGACAACTACAGCATTGCCAGCACTGCCACAGCATGATCCTATAGCAGGGTTACCTCGGAGGGTTACCTGGAAGGGTTGCCTGGTAGATTAATTAGAGTGGCTTACCTGGGCGGGTTATTTGAGCTGGTTACCCCGAGGGTTACCTGTGAGAAGTCCACGCGAGCCCGTTGCAGTTGCCCTGCTAGAATGCACTCTGCTCTGCGCCCCTCCCCACCAGAGCCTTTACGTCCTTGTTATCCCGGCTGCACTCCTTTCCTTTCAGCTTCGAGACGCCCCAAACTCAAACCTGGTCAAGGTGTTACCTGGGAGAGGTCCATGAGAGCCTGTTGCAGGTTGTTTGCTAGGAAGTGCACCGTGCCTCTGCCCACCAGAGCCCTGCACTGTTGTTATCCTATCCTACAGTCCCTCTAGCTTTGAGAAGCCTCAACTCAAAGCTCACGGGGGTGTTACCTGGGAGAGGTCCGCGAGAGCCTGTTGCAGGTTGCCTGCCAGGAAATGCACTGTGCCCCTGCCCACCAGAGCTTTCTCCTCAAACCCCTGCGCTGCCTCCAGCTGCTCACTTGTATGCATGCACGGGGGGGGGGCGGGGGTGGGGGTGGGGGGGTTAAAGGCGAGGGGGAGAAAGATATGGTGGGGAAAGAAGGTGGGAGAGAGATGTGTGGATGTTGAGAAGTCTGGGTTTGGGGGTGTTGAGATGGGTGAGCAGAACTTGATGTAGCAACGGATGTATATGGTTCTTGAGAGTCATCAAGAACCAGCCACGCATGCACGCACGCACTCACCCACGCACACACCCACGCACACACCCACGCACGCACCCATGCACGCATGCGCTCATGCGCAGCACGAATGCACACACGCATGCACGAATGCACACACGCATGCAGGCATGCACACACGCATGCAGGCATGCACACACGCATGCACGAATGCACACACGCATGCACGAATGCACACACGCGTGCAGGCATGCACACACGCATGCACGAATGCACACACGCATGCACGAATGCACACACGCATGCACGAATGCACGCACGCATGCACGAATGCACACACGCATGCACGAATGCACACAAGCATGCACGAATGCACACACGCATGCAGGCATGCACACACGCATGCACGAATGCACACACACACTTGGTCGAAGGCAGTCAAGGCTATTTTTGAGTCGATTAAAAAAGTCAACTCGTTACCATGGCACACGACACAGCACGAATGCATGCACACACGCACCCATGCACGAATGCACGCACACACCTGGTTGAAGGCAGTCAAGGCTTCCTGCAGCCTCCCATCGTCCACCTGCCACACATGACAACCCCGGTCGCCCACAAGAGAGATGGGCACACACACAGCACAAGCATAGGTACGTACATTGGAGCAGCACAGAACGCATTAAGGCATGCATTCGAGGTGTTCTGAGTCAGTCAGTCAGTCAGTGAGGCTTAGCAGCATTCTCGCATTCCTTTTAAGGCGTCGCAAGGCTACTGCTGCTCATGCGATCTCTCTCTAATACGCACTCAACTCAACCCCACCCCCAGCAGCACCACTCCAATCCCATCCATCACCGCTCACATGCCGATATGCTGTGTGCAGAAGCAATTCGTGCTGCTGCTCCTGCTGATCCATGCCTCTTTCCTCCTCACGCCCACCGCCCTTGCTCTCCCTGCCGGTCCCGGTCTTCCCTGCTGCTCCTCTCCCTGCTCTTTTCCCCGTTTGTTTCTCCTGCTGCAGCACATTTCTCTGACTAGCATCACCAGCACCAGCGCCAGCGCCAGCAGCAGCATTGGTGGAGGCAGCAGGAGTAGCAGAAGCAACTGGTGGGAGCGGAGCAAAGCTTAGCACCCCACACACATCCAAAACCCCGCCTTGCCTCCCACTCGCCACCCCTGCGCTCATTCCTCCCCTCCCCTCCCTCCCCTCCTTCCCCTCCCTCCCCTCCCTCCCCTCCCTCCCCTCCCTCCCCACTCCCGCATCCCCACTCGCTGCTGCTTCCATCCCAACACTGCCCCCTCCTTCCCCACCCTGCCCTTCTGCGTCCCCGTCTCCCCCTCCCGCTTCCCCGCCTGGCCTTGCGTGCAGCCGATGCAGCTTGGTGCCTGCATGAAGGGCGGAGTGGGGGAGGCAGGGGCGGGGTGGGAACATGGGAACAACGGGGGGGAATGGGTGGAATGGGGAGAAGGGACAGGAGCAGGGGGGACAGAGGAGGGAAGGGCGAGACGGGGTGTGGGAGGAAAGGGGGGGAGTGGGAGGGGAGCAAAGCGGAAAGAGGAGGGTTAATAGGTAGTGCGGTAAAGTTGATTGGGGTAACGAATGGGGACGAGTTTGATTTGAGGTAGGCACGTGGGAACCTATGCGAACAGCAGCAAGCGATAGGAGACTCTCGGGGTTCGAGGCAGGGACAAGTCAAGAGGGAAAGGGTAAGAGGGAAAGTGTAAGAGGGAAAGGGTACGAGTGGTCACCCTTTCGTGCGAACGGCGCAAGGCACGAGGCAGCAGTGGAAGCAGGTGCAGGCGCGGGGGGGAAGTTGTCAGAACACCCACGAGCAGGACTGGCTGACAGCGGCGCTGCTTGCCATGCCTGTGGTGCCTGCAATGGCTGCTGTGGTTGCACTGATAGAAGCGACTGTGGCGGCACCGTTGCAATCAGATGCTGCTCCCACGCGGATACGCATGGGCTCCTGATGGTGACGTGGCGTGATGATGTGGCGAGATGACGTGGCATGACAACACACGTTATGTGGGCGTGAGTAGGAGTTGAATGCGGGGAGAATCAGGGTGTCACATAAGGCTAGCTGAGTATGGGGGTTCACATTGGGGTTCACATTGGGGGTTCACATTGTTAATCAAAGCCATAACACCATACCACACCGCATCTCATCTCATCTCGTCTCATCAAATCCTTGCATGAGGCTGGGTATGGATCTTTAGTCACCCACTTTCCAGCAAAATTTTCCACACATCTCCATACACACACCATTTCTCCCTCCCCCTTCCATCCCTCCAAGCCTTCTTCACTTCTCGCCTTCCCTCCTTCTCCCCTTCCCCCATTCTTCCTTTCTCCCCTTCCTCTTCTTCCTCCCCCTCCTCCACCCTCTACCTCTTTCCCCCAAGAAGCCCGCCATATGTCCCCCCTCTCACCATGTCAGTTCTTGTAGCGAGGCAACGAGCCCCCTTATAGCGAATCCCCTTTGCTCCTCAGAACATTCCCGCTCTGAACTCGGAACTACAAACCCCGCCGCTTCTTCCGCGCTTCCCCCTGTCCGCGCGCCAGGCGCGCCGGAAGGGGCGCGCGGGGCCGCCGGGGCGAGGGTGGCTTGGGGAAGCGCCGCGGGGGGCGGGGCGGAGAAATAGCGGCCGTTGAAGAGCGAGCAGAGGGTGAGGTTGAGCGAGAGACACACGAACGACGCGCGGACGGCGCGCGGGGGAGCCATGATGGCGCGGGGAAGTGCGCGTGGGGGAGCGAGCGAGCGGCGCAAGATGCGTCCGCCCGCTTCGGGCAATGCCGCGCCGCGGTGCCTCGTAGAGCGCGCCGCGGGAAGGGGATTGCGTTAGCCGTAGCGCAACGGAGCTCGTCGATTAAGACGCGCGATGCGATCAGTATCAAGCACCAACAACTACTTGGACATTACTAGGACTTGGTATCGCAATGGCCAGAGCAATTACTGTGTATGCACAAGCTAGACCGTCAAGGGTCTGTATGTATGGGCGAGGTTTTGCTGTGAGAGGGGAGTGAGAATCATAGAGCATCAGGTGATGCCCCGTACGGTTTGGTCTTGGCGGCCTGCGACGGGGCGTCGTGCGATGCTTGCAGAGAGTGTAACACTGTAGTTGAGATATTTTCGCGATATCGGTGACCTCAGTCGCACATGATTGCGTTCTTCAGTCCGCCAGGGACTGGTTTCCGCCACATTCGCACGCTTTTCGCTTCATGAATTCTGAAGCTGAACCGTTCTGTGCCCCAAATGGTTTATACTGCATGCAAAAATAGGTGTTCTATGCGAAAAAATTATGTCAAGAAGATGGTCTCTATAAACCTATCGAAATAAACGATAACGTGTTTAACGAGCAAACATCATTGACGATGTGCGATACGGCAACTCAATCAACCCGCCAAATTTGGAGGCGGCGCGTCCTGAAACGGCCACATGTCACCAACCGACAATCTACTCACGTTTGGGCCATCCCATCACATCGAGAGCATCACGATCACTGACATATTCCCTCTCCTGAATCCTGATTCGCTTTCTATCAACACAGAAGCGGCACCAGCAGCACCAGTACCAGCCGACCTGCCGTCTCTCGCTACCGCAACGCATCCTCCATACAGTACCACACAGAACGGAAGCCCCGATTTTCCATTCCAGCTGTGACCACTGCCTGCCATCATGTTCTGGATCCATACCAGTCGCGTGTCCGTCTTATCGCCTCGAATCCACTATGAGCTTTGCCTTGAGCCCGTGTTGTGTATTAGTAGCTACCGATATCATCGCTATCGAACGCCAGTCAATCTCGGCTGCTGCCTTCTCCTTCGTGCAGGCTGCCGTCTATCCTCTACTGAACTGCAGTTCAGTCTCGGATACACGTGCCGTGTTCCGAAAGCCGCCACGTGTCACAGTCATCCAGCCGCGCACGCCATCAAACGAGTTCCGCAACGTCTCATAACGCGCCACGCCATTTTAACGCAGCATACTCCGCGCCGCCGGTTGCATACTCCTCTGCCTCGCCACCCCACCGACTCGCCTCTCCGTCGTGCGACTTCCAGAATCGGAATTCGTCGCACTAGGTAACGAGGGACTCGTGCGAACCTCTTGCGACTTCGCCAGCTCGCGCCACTCCCAACAGTCGCACCGAAACCATCCGTTTTGCCTAGGCACCTCCCTTGTACCTGCCTTCCCACCTAACTCCCTGCCCGCCGCCTTCCTTCCTCCCTGCCTGCGCGCGCCTCGCCTCCCCGCCGTCGCATCGATGAAACAGCCATTTCAGCCGGACAGACCGCTGCTGGCGCCGCGGTCCGACGCGCGCACTCTCCCCTGCTCGGAATCGTCGGACTCTTCAGACGAGTGCGCGCCGCCGCGACGACCACTGCCGCCGCGCAAAGCAGCAGCACGGAGCTTCACCGATCTTCGCAAGCTACTGCTAGAAGGAGCCAGCGCCAGGGGCGGGCAGAGGACCGCAATCCATACAACGGCGCCACTCACGGCGGCGATCACGGCGCTCTCGGCTCCCCTCGCGGCGCTAGCGGCGCCAGTCACGGGGCCGCTGGTCAACAGCGTTCCAGGCGACGGCGTGGCGAGCGCAAGCGAGGAGTGGGCAGTAGCGCAACCAGCGGCGGGATCTGCGGAGGCGGCAACGGAATGTCTAGCAGACTGGAACGACGGCACGGGAGGGGTTAGTAGTAGCGCCCCCGCGGCCGCGGTAGCGGGAGTAACGGTGCTGCTGCTGCGGAGATTGGGATCAGCCGGTATCATTGCTGCTGCTCCCGCTGCTGCTGCTGCTGCTGCTGCCCCTGCTGCTGCAGCTTGGGCCGGCAACCAGCGACGGCAGCTTTCCTGGTATGTACTAGTAAGGCAGGGAGTGACCCGTTAAAAGTCGCTCGTTTAACATGCTGCGTGACTGTGAACCTGAAATGCGTATCACAGTTCCCCACGCGCATCCAGCTATAGGTGGGGCAGAGAGTGCGTGACCTCCCCTCCGTCCACCCTCCCCACCCCGCCCTTACCCACGAACCTCAAAACCACGCGCGACAGCTCTGACTCGACTAGCTGGATCTCGCGACGTCGCCCACGACTGGACGACTCGCACGGCGTCGCACGGCGACGACAACGTGCTGGAGCGAGACGACTCGGAGGACGTCGTCGCCGCGCCGTCGCCCGCGTCAGTGCGCGCAGCTGATTCTGAAGGACGCGAGGAAGAGGAGGTCAAAGAATACAGGGCGGCGGAGGAGGAAGCGCGGCAGGGCGCGGAGGAAGTGCTGGCGGAAGCGGCAGTGGCGGAGGAGGCGGCAGCGGGGGAAGGGGAAGCGGGGGAAGGGGAAGCGGGGGAAGGGGAAGCTTGGGAGGCGGAAAATGAAGCTTGGCCAGCGGAACCCTTTCCTGAAGGGGCGGTGAGTAGCGGCGGCGGAAGAAGTGGTGACGCGGAGGCATTGGCAGCGGGGGAGGAATCCGCACAGACTGAGCCAGCGAAGGGTGCGGAAAAGCAAGCGGAGAAGGGTGCGCGGAGCAGCGCCGGCGCATCAGGGCGGGCGGCGCAAGACTTTCTGCGAGGAACTTCCGCCGCCGCTGCGGCCACCGCAGGGGGGCGCGCGGACAGTGAATACGCGGATGGGGGGAACGGGGAAAGAGTTGGGGATGCTGCAGGGAGCGTCCAGTGGGAGAGGATGGAGGTTGTTGGGAGGGCGGAGACTGTAAAAATGGGCGGTGAGACGGGCGGAAGGGCGAGAAATTACAGCAGCAGCGGCAGCAGTGGCAACAGCAGCATCATAAGCAGCAGCGGGTTCGAGCGGGCATTCCCGCGCAAGGCGCGGTTGGTGCTGCAGCGCATGCAGGCGGCGGGGCTGCCCGTTCCGCGCGACCCGTGGCTGTGCGCGGATAGAGCGGCGGACGTCGAGGGTTACACGCGACCCACGGAGTGAGTGAACGTGAAATGGCGCAACAGCGGGGGGATAGTGGGAGTGGGAGATGGTGGGAGTTGGTGGGAGTGGGACGTGGTGGCCCTATAGCGGAATGGGATCACTCATTAACGAATGCCGCAATACTAGCTACGACGAGAGTCAGAGAGTGCATATGGAGTGACTCGCCGGAGCCAGCAGCAGGAAGAATCGCCCTTTTCTTTTCTCTCCTTTCCCCATTCCTCTCTTCCTCCCGTCCTTGCCCTCCCGTTCTCCCGCCCCGCCCACTCCCCCAGAAATCTGCGAGGCAGTCTGTTGTACCGCAGCAGCACGGTGGGCACGGACGACTGTCAGCTCTTCCTTGCTGCTGCCACCACGCCCTCTCCCTTCAGCCACACCTTCGCCACCCTCCCCCCTCTCTCCCCGCTCTCCGCTCTCTCCCCACTATCCCCCCTCGCCGCTCTCTCAACCCCCTCCCCTATCGACCCGCTCCCTTTCCTCCCCACCTCCAATTCCTCCTCCTCCTCCTCCTCTTCCCCCCTCTCCTCCGCCTCCCCCTCCCCCCCGCCCCCAACCCCAAAGCTCGCGTTTCTCTTTCTCTCCCGCGGCCCGCTCCCCCTGGCACCTCTTTGGGCGCGCTTCTTCCGCGGATACGAGTAAACGCCACTACTCCGCCTACCTGCACCCCGCGCCCGGATACCGGGTTCCGCGGGCAGTGCGCTGCGCGCTCAATCTCACCGTCGTGCCCAGCAAGCCCGTGTTCTGGGGGACACTCAGCATCGTGGAAGCAATCAAGGTGGGGGGAGGGAGAGAGAAGGGGGATGACAGGGGGGGATGAGAGCGGGGCGATGAGAAGGGGGGGATGAGAAAGGGGCGGCTCTCCCCCTTTTCTCCCCTAGCACCTGTTAGCCAACGCCCTTTCCTTTTCCCGAAGCTAACACATCCCCGTCCCACCCGTTTCCCACCCCCTCCCTTCCTCTAACCCCTTTCCCTCCCCCCCACCCCCTTTTCTCCCCCCAGCGTCTGCTAGCCAACGCCCTCTTGGACCCACACAACGTGCGCTTCATCGTGCTGAGCGAGCGCGACATCCCCCTCCACCCCTTCCCCGCCGTCTACCGCTACCTGCTCTCCTCCCGCCTCAGCTTCTCCGGCGGCCATCCCAAGCACTTCCGCGACGCGCTCGTCGCACGGCGCATCTTCCCGCCCGGTCTTGTGCGGTCGGGATGGGTGCACGGGGAGTGCTGGCTCGAGATGGCTCGCCCGTGAGTGCCGTGGGAAGGAGGAGGGAGGGAGGGAGGGAGGGAGGGAGGGAGGGAGGGAGGGAGGGAGGGAGGGAGGGAGGGAGCCGCTGCCTTGCTGTGTGTTGCAGTTGCGAGATCTGGGGGGGAATGCAAGAGAGTTTGTAGTGCGCGAGCCGGGGAGCTGGATTCACTTGTATTGACTCACTCGCTCATACCTTCCATGTTCTTTTGTGCAGTTTGGCCGAGCATGACAAACCGGCTTGCTTGGAACCGTTGTGCCCTGCTTACTCCCTCTCCATGCCCCTCTCTCTCTTCCCAATGTGCCCTTTTCCATTCGCCTTCTCTGCTGCTTCTGCCTTGTGCACGCTTTACTCCCGTTCCACACCTTTACTCCACACCTTCCCGTTCTCCATGAAACGTTTTCCTTTCCCATCCATCCTTCCGCATGCTCTCCACTCCTCGCCTTCCCACTTCTTCTGCCGGTCCCTCCTCCCCTCCCTGCTCCTCCCTGCCCCTCTCCACTCTAGAAACGCCTTACAGATTCTCAACACAGCCGTATCCAACCCATCACAACCCCATACAACAGCTCCATACAACACAGGGACAATTACCTTCCTGTACGCGATTCATTCCAACCCTACCACCCCCTCTCCTGCCCCCTCCCCATCTCCCTTCCCAGCGACACCCAATCAGCCAAGCGCGGATGGAGGTGGCACGGGCAGGGCCTGCAATACGGCCTGGCACGATTTCTACCCACACGTTGCGAAGATGATTCTTGTGTCTACTCGAAATCAACCATGCGTAGATGATTCTTGAAAGGAGAGCCCAGTAACAACCACACCCCCTCCCAATTCCCTTCTATTTCCCTTCCTCCCCCTCCCCAATCCCCCGCCACGCCCCTTCCCTCTCCCTCCTCCCTCCCACACAAAACAACCCTCCTCTTACTCAGCCATGCGTGGGCGGTGGTGAGCGAGTGGCGATGGCACGAGCTGGCCCTGCAATACTGCAAAGCGATCTCCTCCTCCGTGTGCTGCGTCGACGAAAACCTCATACAGAACCTCCTCACACTGTCCTTCCCCCACCAAGTGGCCAATCGCACAGTCATGAGCGTGACCTGGAAGAGAGCTTCTGCTCACCCACACACATTCCTACCGGAGGACATAACTGCTGGGACTATTAAGGGGCTTAAAGAGGAGCGGAAATATAGTTGGAAGGCAAGCAACATTGGCAAGGGCTTCCATTTCATCAGCAGTGATAGTCCTACCAGCGCACCGTGCACTCTGAACGGACAGCCAGGTCCCTGCTGGCTCTTTGCACGTAAGTTTGTGAACGAGTCCCTGCCTGCGCTGCTGGCTCTGCCTCATGAGGTTCTGGGGTACTGATGGGAAAAGGGTCACCTCGCGACAGCACTGGCTGGCACGCTTAGGGTTACCAACAATAGGGTGCCCAGTTGCCAAGCCTTTGCGTTAGCAACGGGTGTGTGGATGTGGGGGAAGGAGAAGGAAATTAATAAAAGCAACATTTGATTACCGTAAAGGGTTTGGGCAACAAATAGTTATATAATATCTTTACGCATTCCAGGAACAGTTCGTTCACTTGATTGATTTGTCGTTGCTTACAACGATGCACGCCTGGGTTCGCGTTCTCCACACCTTCCTCTTTCCCATTTCCCTCGGGCTTCAGTTTTGACCAGATTCCAATTCCAAGCCATCTTGAAGTGCCTTCGTTCGAGAGCGGTTCATTACTCTATTTCGTTTTATAAAAAAGGTTCATACACAACGAGAACGGTTGAGTGGGATAAATTCAGGCGGATGTAAATCTCCCAGTCAGCCAAAAAAATGTCGAAGCCTCGATGCTTTGAAGGAAATGAGGGAGCGGGAGGGGGGAGGAGCACGAGCCTTCAAAAAGGGCCTAGTCCACACGCAAGCACGACGGTTCCCGCTCTCCCTCCTTCCGCCCCTCCCACCCATTCCACCCAAAGCAGCAGGAAGGTCCGCCTGTCCCGTTTGAACCCCTGAGCCACCCGCTTGCGCCTTCGCACCGTCCGCGCCTTGAAGGCGGCCCTGATTGGTTGGTCGTTTTGTTGCGCACCTAGCTACCGTCAATCCCACAGCGTGACACATCTATCTTATCGTTGGTGCTCCGCGAAGTTTACTAGCAAGCGTCATGCGCGCAGCGCATTCCGTCACCGACTAGGAGTATTCGCTCACATACCCACCCACCCACCCACACTTCGTTCCGCAGATGTACACGTGGCTGCGTAGCACTCGCGCGGCTCGATGGCGACTGGTGAGGTGCAGAGAGCAAGAGGGGCCGAAAGAGGGCCAGTCGCGCTCATGTCCGTTTGTCCAAGAGCGCTTCTCGTTCTCGCCTGCAAGTATAAAGCTCTTCGCGCAGAGCGCCGCAAAATTGTCCAGGAAAGCAATTCTCCAGCGCAAAGAGCACAAAGCGCGAAATCCACGGTTTTTTCCCTGGTTAATTGATTAAACGCGAGCAGAAACGAGCCGAAACGAAGCGGGAGTTTGAGAAGCGAGAGCGAGTAATAATAGCGAGTCAGCGTCGCAACTACTATATTCCACAGCTCGAGAGCCTTGGAACCCCGCCTAGTCGCAGCACCGAGTATTTTGACGACGACGGCGGCTGCGGCGGCAATGGGGACGCTGTTCGACCTTAACGCCAAGTACGAGCTCGGGGAGAGGCTCGGTCGCGGGCAGTACGGCGTGGTGTGGCGATGCACGGACCGCGCGACGGGGGAGGCCTTCGCGTGCAAGTACGTGGCGGGGGAGAGCGAGCACGCCATCCGCGGCGCGCGCCGAGAAGTGAAATCGCTGCTTCGCCTGCGCGGCGCGGGCCACGTCGTGGCGCTTCGCGACGTGTATAAAGACGAGCTGAACCAGTCGTTATACCTTGTAATGGAGCTGGGAACTAAAGGGGATCTTCTCTCCGCGATCGAACGCAGGGGCCGGCTGTCGGAGGCCAACGCGCGGCGCGTGTTCCGCGACGTGGTTCTCGGAGTTAAGGAGTGCCACGAGCGCGGCGTGTTGCATCGCGATATTAAACCCGACAACGTCCTCCTGTTTCCTACCAATACTACCGCCACCCATAGTCGTCGCTCCATGTCGCCTAGTAATGCCCCCTTTACACCCAGCGGCTCGTCGCTATCTCCCTTCGGCAGCAGCAACGGCGCCGCGTCCAGCCCTATCAACAAGGGCCCGTTTTCTCACGATGATTCGCTCGTGCAGGATTACCATGGCGCTACGCGACTCGGCCAGGGAGGCCTTCTGCTTGGAGATTACTCGCATAACGAGGCTGAAGCGGCTGCTGCGGCGGCGGCGGCGGTTGCGGCAGCAGTAGCGGACGCAGGTGCACTTTCCCCTCGGTCCCACTCTGCACCGTACTTCTTGTGGACCGCGCTTGATGATGCGGGAGCTGACAGATGTATCAGCAGCAACGGCGGTGGCGGCTGCGGCGGCGGCGGCGGTAGAAGGGAAAACACCATGGCAGCAGCAGCAGCAGGAGCAGAAGGAACAGAAGGTGCGGGGAGCGTGGCGAAGCTAGTCGATCTCGGCATTTCCATTCGCCTCAAGCCCGGACACTGCGTGCAGGGCTATGCGGGAAGCTTCCCGTACGAGGCCCCCGAGGTTGTGGCAGGAACGCCGTACGACTATAGCGCGGATATTTTCAGCCTGGGAGTCACGCTGTACGCGATGCTGTCGGGGAAGTGGCCATCCTACGCGAGTCGCATCCCGGAGGAAGGATCGTACGGCCCTAGTAAGAGGCGGCTGGACGAGAAGCGGGACTGGAGCTCTCCCTGCTGGTGGTTCGCCTCGAAGCATGCGAAAAGTCTGATTCGTCGCATGATGGCAAGCGACCCGGATCTGCGACCAACGGCAGAAGAGATACTCGCAGACCCGTGGCTGGACCCTCGCCCGCTCGTCAATACTAGACAAGGAAGCTATGGCACTTGCGTCAGTAGTGCTAGTGCGTGTTGCGGGTGCCCCTCCCCCTCCGCTCTGCGTAAAAGCCTTGCCCCTCGGCTACTTCCGCGGCACCGCCACCGCTGCTGCTGCGGCAGGCATTTGTGGCAAAGCAGGTCCCCAAGCTGCTCGTGGCGGGTGCGGCCACAGGAGTGAGGGGCTCCCGTTATTGTAATTCACTAGCCTTCTACAAAAAACTAATGGGAGTGTTCTGGAAATAAATATTTATATATATCAGCATCGAGCTCCATACTCCAAGGCGTGCAGGTTGATCTTTTGGGTAATAGGAAATAAACTTCCCATTGTGCCGCAAATATCCAGTAAAATATAAATAGTAGTATTATTACATCAATCATCTCAAGTATATCGCCCTAAAATTCTCTGGCTATTTTATATGCAAACGATTGAGTTTTGAATCCATGTGTTAGTATCTGGTCAATGGGGTTCATATTAAAAATAGCTTACACAACATTGCGGGTAATCACCTACTCAACTGATCGTAATGTTTAATGTCAAATGTTGGTAGCCTGTAGTGAGGTTTGTCTTAGGGGGTACGTACGTTGGGGTTTGCTACTTGTACCCCAACCACCATCAATGAAACAACACTTGTGATTCTGACATGGTATCACCTAGGTTAGGATCCTGTGGGATCCCGCTCCTCCCGACCTCGTTCGTATCGCCCGAGCCTGTCTCCCTCTCTCGTACTAGTTGCGCACGTCTTGCCCGAGCCTAGCGCCGGCCCGCTCTCGTCTCGTTCCTTCGTTACCGACCGTTCCGCCGATCCCCTACTCGCGTAGCGTAGCGACCTTCCTCCCCACTGCTGCCCGTCGCGTTTCCCCCCCCCCCCGCTGCCCGTCGAGTCGCGTTTTTCCCCCCGCTGCCCGTCGAGTCGCGTTTTTCCCCCCCACTGCCCGTCGAGTCGCGTTTTCCCCCCCTGCTGCCCGTCGAATTGCGCCTTCCCCTGCCCCCCGTCGCGTCGCGCTCTCCCCGCCTGTCCCGTCGCCCGTCCCCCCCCCTAAGTGCGCCGCCGCGGCGCTTTCTCCCGTCGCCCGCCGTCGCGCCCGCAGCCTGCGCCCGTCGCCGCGACGCCCGCCGCCGCTGCCCCCCCCCCGCGCACGTCGCTGCCGCGCCCGCTCCCGTCGCCCGTAGCTGCGCCCGCAGCCTGCGCCCGCTGCAGCTGAGCGCCTCCACGCGCGTCGCGCGCGGCTGCCTTAACGCCCGCCCCCGCGCCCGCGCGGCTGCCCTTAGCCCCCCGCGCGGCTGCCCTTAACGCCCCCCCGTTGCGTAGCGCTAGGCCTATCCGCCCGCCCGTGCGTCCCTTTGCCCGCTCGCCCGCTGCGCCCGTGCCTCCCTTTCTCCCTACGTACTTGCATGCCGCGCTAGCCGCCACTCCACCGAGTTTCGCCACGCCACCTCGTTTAGGGTTTCCGGCCTCCGCTTTCCCGTCAATTTTCACTATGGCGACTCCGCGTGTTCTTCGTTTCGACGCTGACGGTAGACCCCTTGACTTTTCACTCTGGCTTATGCGCGCTCGCCGTCAGTTAGAGAGTCAGGTCCAGTCAGGCGAGACCCTCTGGGCGCACGCTACTGGTGCCCTCCCTGCGCCCCCCGACCCTACGCCTTTAGGCCCTGCCCCTGACGACGCCGCTAGAGCTCGCTTTACTAGCCAGCGCGCTGATCAGACAGCTTGGACGTCGCGTGACGCTGCGGCCTGCATCGCGCTCAGCACCCTCCTCCCTGAGTCTGAGGAGGTCCACTTTACTCAGGTTCGCACTGCTGCTGAGTACCTGATGTCGGAATCAACAGACAGGAATGACTGTACTAGCACAAAGTTGGATACAAGTAGGAAACCCTAATCTAGTGTACCCCCTAAGGTGTAACCCACTACAGCCTACAATCATATAAACATATAATGTTTGACACACCCCCATAGGCGCAGTGGGAGACAACCACAGGGTCACGAGACCAGTCAAAGCAAAGAAAGGCAAGCTCAGGGTGGATCTCAAGGATTCCACACAAATTCCGAGCACAAGCAAGCGGTCACAAGACCAGTCCACATGCAGGTTTATAATAGAGCAAGAGATACAGTGATCACAACCTAGCAAGAGTGAACATGCAGGTATATATATATATATATAGTGATCACAGTACAAGCAGGGTCAAGAAGTAAGCAAATGAGGTCCAGTAGGCACAAGGCCTAGTAGAGTGCAGAAGCGCTGATGGTCACAAGGCTGAAGCGCCTTGGTGAACACATCAGCAGTGTTGGCCTCAGTGGCCACGTAACGAATACAAAGCTGACCGCGCTGCTGCAGCTCTCGAGCAAGGAAGTACCGCAGGGCGATGTGCTTCGTTCTGTGCTCCAGTCTGTGCTCCTCACACAAGGCAATGGCAGCCTTGTTGTCGACGTACAGCACTGGAGGAGAACGAGGCTGCTCTCCCAGGTCGGTCAGCAGGTAGGTCAGCCAGCGTAGCTCCTGGGCAGCCATGGCTGTGGCGTAGATCTCAGCCTCACAACTGGAGCTGAGAACAGAAGAAGAGCGTGTAGAACGCCAAGAAACTGAGCCGGAGCCAAGGCTGAAGGTGTAACCCTGAGACGATCGCTGAGTAGCCTGGTCGTCAGCCCAAGAGGCGTCTGAGTGTCCTGTGAGTACAACTCGGTCTCGCCCTCCAAGCACTAGCCCCATGCCCGACGTACTGCACAAGTAGCGCAACACCCTCTTAGCAGCATCCATGTGCTCCTTCCTGTGACGGCCAGGAGCGACATAGCGTGCAAGGATGCTAAGAGGGTATGCCAGGTCAGGTCGAGTGCAGGTCATCAGGTACATGAGACAGCCCACAAGCTCTGGATACGGGCCACTCGGCTCTACGGACTCATCCGAAGGCAGAGCTAAGAGCGAGTGACCGGTAGGCAGAGGAGTGGACTGAGGCGAGGAGTACGTGAAGCGGAAGTGCTGAAGGATCTGCTGCACCATGTGTGACTGAGTCAAGGTGATGGTGCGCCGTGCTCTGTCCCGGGTGATCCGCAAGCCAAGATAGCTCGTCAGTTCCCCCAGGTCTGTGCACGTGTGTCTCCTCTGCAGCTCCGACTTCACGTGGGCGAGTGTCGCGGTGTCAGCAGTGGCAAAGACCAGGTCGTCGACGTACACGAGGATGTAGAACGGCGGCAGTGAGGTGTCTGTGCGTAGAAACAGTGACGGGTCAGCAGTAGAGGGAGCGAACCCTAGAGCCGCAAGTGTCGTCCTCAGTGTGTCGTGCCACTCACGTGGTGCCTGGCGGAGACCGTAGACCGGCCGCTGGAGCCTCCACTGGGTACCAGGAGGAACCGACCCAGTGAAACCAGGAGGGCGACGCAGCCAGATCTCCTCGTGTAGGCTGCCCTGTAAGAAGGCAGTGCTGAAGTCAAGTGAGTGAAGCTCGTAGTCGCGCTGAGCGGCTATGTGCAGCAGCACCCGAAGAGTGGTCATCTTCGGGGTGGGGGAGAAGGTCTGGAAGAAGTCAACTCCCTCTCGCTGGCTGAAGCCTCGAGCAACGTAGCGCGCCTTGAAGACAGGAGGAGAACCCGGCGGCCGCTTCACCCTGAAAATCCACATGCCACTGACGATGTTCGCCCCAGGAGGGGGAACCTCGTCGACGTAGGTGCGTGTGGACTTCCAGGAAGCCATCTCTGCGTCCATGGCTGTCTGCCACTGAGAGGAGTAGGGACCCGCCATCGCCTCAGCGTAAGAGCGCGGGGTCGGGATGTCAGGAGCATCCGGGTCTCCCTCAGGGGCAACTAGTAAGGACACGAGACGGGGCAAAACAGCAGCAAGGCACTGGAACTCCTCCTGTCTGTCCTCAAGGACGTCCGTGCCAAGAGCACACTCACCCCCGACGGACGGAGGACAGACAGACTCAGACTCAGACTCAGCGACAAGGCTAGCAGCGTAGTCTAGACGACACCGGGCAGCAAAGTCAACCAGCTCAGCGACCAGCGCAGACGCAGCAGAGGACTCAAAGGTAGGGTCAGTGACAACAGTAGCGAGGAGACGCGTGACAGTGGGAGAGTCAGACTCCGGGTCAGGAAGAGTAGGAAGAGAGGAAGCGGGAGGAGACGGTAGCGGGACACGCTGAGGAGCAGTGGAGGGACGCAGAGTCATGTAGTGAGTGCCAGGGACAGGAGGAGGACGCTCACGTGGGACACGACGACCAGTGTGAGCAGTACGAACAGGCGACGCAGGACGAGACTCAGGCTCACGACGCTCTGTAAGACCTCCCGTGGGACCAGTGTAAGGAGAGGGAGCAGGGAGAGGCGAGGCAGGCGGTAACTGTGACTGCGGCGGGACAGGCGGAGGACACTCTACGGAGGGAGGAGGACAAGGAGGAGGAGTCTGACCAAGAACCTGCTGAAGGAGCGGTACGAAGTACGGTCGCGGCCGCGCAGCGTCTCCAGAACGAGCAGAGACACCAGCAGCAGGGTCCTCAGTACCCGCAGTAGCTCCAACGTCCGGGTCCTCAGCACCAGCAGCAGCTCCACCGCCCGGGTCCTCAGCACCAGCAGCAGCGCCACCGCCCGGGTCCTCAGCACCAGCAGCAGCTCCAACGCCCGGGTCCTCAGCACCAGCAGCAGCTCCAACGCCCGGGTCCTCAGCACCAGCAGCAGCGCCACCGCCCGGGTCCTCAGCACCAGCAGCAGCTCCAACGCCCGGGTCCTCAGCACCAGCAGCAGCGCCACCGCCCAGGTCCTCAGCACCAGTAGTAGCTCCAACGCCCGGGTCCTCAGTACCAGCAGCAGCGCCACCCCCAGGGTCCGCAGCACCAGGAGCACCACTCTGAAGACTGCAGCGCCGCGCGTACCACTCTCGGATCTGCTGAATGGGGGGGAGCTCCTGGGTA